TCATATCCTAGTTGAATGTTGTGGCTACAGGCTGCATGTTATTTTGAGCTGCATATCAGCATTTTGGAGGTTATTTCTAGATTTTATTCTGTGTAGACTTGAAATCCTTTCCCATTTTCCTCTAAATTGATCATTCCTGCTTTTCTCAATATCTGTAAGACATTTCAGTGGAGAGTTCTGATATGGTTTGGTTAAAGATGCATCTCTGACGTCTTGTAGGAATCTGTCCAGATCCTATGAATGGTGACAAGCTGAAGATATTTCTCTGGTAATGAACAGACAGTGACTTGCTATAGTAGAGACTGAAGTCAGTGAGAGAGTTCAGTTCTAGGAATAGCAGCAAATAAGAAGTTATGGATACAGACCTACCAGCTGCAACAGCAAATAAGGGCTTTGGATATACAACCAAGGGAATTTATTAAAAACAGATGAGAGAATAATTTAATTATTTGATGCCTCGGTTAGTTGCTGACTGGAAACTGCAGAGGGAGTTGAACAGAGTTAAAATATGACACTCATGTTTTGGAGAGAAACAACAAAATTAATTGGGACAGTAACGGAGATAAAGGACTGAAAAAATTTATCATTTTTTGGACCCTGAAGTGGCTGAGACAAGAGTTTGTGATGGCATGCAAAAGCCAGAGTGTGGTGGGTATAAACTAGTCAGAAGGCATTCACTTTACAGGAGATCAAAACACATGGTCACAAGCCAAGCTAAGGAAGGAGAATATCAAGTTATGAGAAAGGACATTTTTACCCAGAGACGTGAGGTAGCTTGTGCAAATGTGAGGGGTGCTTTTAGCAATAGGGTAAATTAATAAAAGAAGGCATGAGGAATACAGAGCCTCTAGTTCTACCTACTGAGGTAGAGGAGATGGGATAGAAAGAAAATGAAGGTCAGTTTTTTTCACATTGCGATTACTATGAAGGATTCAGTTCAATCATCTAGCAAGCAGGCAGACAGCTGAGCCAGAAGGAGATCTGGCCCTTTCATTTGCTCTGGAGTTTTGTATCCAGCACCTAAGAGCAAACTACTGCCTCATCTGGTTCAACAGCTTCACAAGATGAGTTACTGTCAAATTAGCTGAGTGCTTGTCATATACAGTGTATATGACGTGTACGTCAGGGAAAAAAAATTGCTAAAATCCCAGACTCGTAAAATGAATCAGAAGACACATATACTGACAGAATGCATACAGGTTATGTGGTCAGATAATTGCAAGAATGCTTAGACATCTCTGTGATCCAGGAAGCCAAAGATCAGAGATGACTAAAATGGAACAAAAACAAATAGGTAAAGAAGGTCAGACACTTTCTTCTTTTCAATTTTACCTTCTTTTTTAACCAATCATCAGGCAATTGGAGCAGTTATTGATCAAAATCAACCAGATCTGATGGTTTAAAATAAAATAAAATAAAATAAAATAAAATAAAATAAAATAAAATA